TGTCAGTCTGTCCATCAGTGAATCTAGGTGCTCGTTCCAAAATGTAGATTCGGATGAAGAAGAACGAGCAAGAAACTCCATTCGTTACTCTGGCTTAAACACTTTTTTTTTTAATTTTTATACTTTAGTAGTGTCTATGGTTGCACTCTATGCAGTTTGTTTCCGCACACTGAGCAACGTGGACCTTCTGTAAATATCGCGTTGAGTGCACAAATCTAGTTCCAGAATGTTCTGCCTGCACTGCGCAGGTCACAATAAGTAATTTAGTTTGTGGCATTCATACATAATATTGTATTAGTATGTTTAAGCAATTATTAATTAATATTATCCCTAGGAAATAAAAATCTGCCTTGACAGCAAATGCGACTGCTGACCAAGAAGACTTGCATTTTCAGCTTTTTCAGTATAAATATGAAGACTTTGTTTGAGGGGAAAATCATCCAATGACTTTCCCCGCCCGGGCGAAGCGAGAGTGTCAGACTCTTACTGACTAAAAACCACCCTGTTCCTACGCCTGCACTTCGAGCCGTATCGGTTCGAACCCGTTAAGTATTCCGCTGATCCGTATCGGCATTAGCCCTGTTGGGCCCTATCTGTAGTGGTCTGATGGCTCCTTGAGACGCGCGGTCGACCTGGTCGGGCGGCGAGTTACCCATGCTCGCCGTCCGCCGGCCCGTGCTTACGGTGGCCGGAGATCGTCTAGCGATCCCCGACGCCCGGAGTGTCTCTCGCGACGGCTATGGCGTGAGGAGGTTCGTTCCATCACGCACCCCGCCACCTCCTTAGCTAACATAACTGCTTTGTAAAAGGAGGAGAGGGCATCCCAGTCTCCCTCGCTCCGTACCATGGTCTGAACCAGAGCCGGACGCGAGAGTTCACCGTCGCCGATCACATCACCGTATGCTCCACCGTGTCCTCCGGGCGGTCCTCGCAATGATAATTATGAAGCCTGGAATTCTATCCAATACATGTATGGCAATGGCAATAGCTCTTATGGCGTGGGACTCATAACATAAGTAATGAAAAGATTTTCAGAATAAAATATTCTAGATGTTTTATTTCTCGTTGGCGAAATCAGTTGTTCCAAGACGACCTATATGTATGTACCTGTGTGAAATTTCTATCTTATAGTTTACTAGCTTTTATCCGCGGCTTCGCTCGCGTCACAAAAGGATAAAAAAGTAGCCTATGTGACATATATCAATACACACAGCGCCATCTATACCAATACTTTTGTTTTCCCTCGGGAATATCAAATTTTTCTGGGATAAAAGAACCCTATTATTTAATCCGGACTTCTTACTTTACGTCTGCAAAAATTCAAAGCAATCGGATTAGTAGTTACGACGTGAAAGCGGAACAAACAAACTCACTTTCTGATTTATAATATTAGTAAGGACTAGCGACCCGCCCCGGCTTCGCACGGGTGCAATATGCATATATTATACACATAAATATTCCTTAAACTGTCAAACACCGCGAGGATACCGGTGTCCGCACACCTATTGTTTTCTTAATTGTGTCTATAATGACGGTACTCAAAGAGTTAAGTATCACTCTACCTAATAAAAAAACCGCATCAAATTCCGTTGCGTAGTTTTAAAGATCTAAGCATACATAGGGACAGATAGACGGCAGATAGCGACTTTGTTTTATATTATGTAGGGATGTCTTGTGATATTCAATTAAATTGACTGCACGTTTGGTGCGTGGCTAGTGAACCGCCTTCCGTGCAGCGTACCGCGGGTTCAATTCCCGCACAGAACAACATTTTGTGTGATGCACTGTTGTTCCGGGTCTGGGTGTCATGTGTACGTAAATACGTGTTTGTAAACACACTCAAAACACAGGAGATAATCCTAGTGTGGGGGTAATGTTTTTATAAAATAAAAAGACTGCTTTTAGTCGCACTTGCGACCGCTCGTCGCAAGTGCGACTCTCGGTCTCGGTTCGGATTCCCGGGTCGGGCAAAGTAATACAGAATTTAAAAAAAAATCTCAGTAGTAGAGTAGCACGGGGTCTGGAATTGTGCCCGGTATATGGCAATAGGCTCACCCCCTATTACATAAATCTCTTAACATAAATTGTAAAAAGTGGTTGTTACATTGTACAGTGGTATTAGGTGCCGTAATGTGCACCTCTGCCTACCCCTTCGGGGATGAAAGGCGTAGATGTACAATTATATATTCAATCACTACCTACTTAAACATACCATGTATATTGAAAATTGAAAATTGAAAATATTGATCGTGAAACAGGACCTGCGCAGTGCAGTCAGAACATTCTAGACTTGTGGCTCTTGCACTAAATGCGACGCTTGCCGAAGGTCCACATCACACAGTATCTATTAAAATGAGATATAAATGACGCAAATTAGCATTGGGCCACTACCAGCTCTGCTGTTATGCTAAACCCTTCTTTTGCAAAAATAGCCCAAAGGCCGACGTGAAGCAACGCTTGCGTTGTGTTTCGTCGTTTGAGTGAGGTTACCGGACGCCCAATTACCCCTCTCTCCTTCCCCAATCCCTAAACCTCCACCATCCTCAAACTCCTAAGGCCGGTAACGCATTTGTAACGCCTCTGGTGTTCCAGGTGTCCATGGGTGACGCCGATTGCTTACCATCAGATGATCCGTCTGCTCGTTCATCGGCTTGTCCCATAAAAAAGGGTATAACTAACTAGTGATCTGTGAGGTATCAGGTACAAGACCAACTATTTTAATTTCGCGGCATGGGTAAACACTGCTTAATTTCCATTCATCATATTTATCATCATCATCCATGGTATCACTGCGGTCGAGCCGGCCCATTTGTGCCGAAGCATGGCTCTCCCACACTTAAATAACATACATTATTAGTGTCTCATGATCGGCAACCATAGTTTAAAATACTTGATTAATTGTACCTTCTGCTTCACCTTTTTTATAATATGAATAGTATACCAATAACTGCATACAAATATATCACACAAAATAATAATTGTGACCTGCGCAGTGCAGACGGAACATTCTAGACTTTTGCAGTCATTGCGATGCCTGCAGAAGGTCTATATTGCTCAGTTCGTGAATGAAAATATATTTACATGTGGCTCTGGCAAAGGGGTAAAGATTCGATGATTTGCGAGGTTCACTGTCCAGTGACACACGTACGCTGGTATCGTCATGAGCTAATTTTCACATGTAAACAGTGACTCGTGTAGTGTAGATGTCCAGTCAACTGATGGTAGCGATTTTCACTGTCCAGTGACACACGTACGCTGGTATCGTCAAGAGTTCACATGTAAACAGTGACTCGTGTAGTGTAGATGTCCAGTCAACTGATGGTAGCGAGGTTCACTGACCAGTGATACACATACGGTGGTATTTTAATAAAAATATTTTTAAGTATTATTTCAACTTTAATTATATTGTGATCCCTCTGCATCAATTCTGCATTGTACTGCATTCGCACAAAGCGGGTTGAAGGGATGGACATTGTAATTTATAGTCACATATCATCACACCCTTAGATTTCTAGAAGGGTAGGCAACGAAATAGGTAGGTGTCGGGATGTACATTGTAATTTAGGGTCACATATCTTCACACCCTTAGCTTTCTAGAAGGGTAGGCAACGAAATAGGTATCTCAGGAGTGGCATATATTGCTAAACATTTCTTTTTTTAAACTGTCAAACACAGCGAGGACACCGGTGACCGCAACCTGTTGTTCTTTAATTGTGTCTATAATGACGGTACTCAAAGGGTTAAAGAGACTGGCGAATGTTTCAATGACTTCCCTAAAGCCTTTAATGGATATCAGTCAAAAGAGATCTGTAGCCAACCTGTCTTATTATACGATCTCTGAAACACCATTAGCTTAATTTAGTTCGTGTGTTCAAAACTACGCGTGCAGTCTGTCCTGTTTGATGATTAATATATTAAAGTGAAATTGGTTTTCAATGATTTTAACACTGGTGTTCCACAGGGCGGTATTCTGTCACCATTTTTATTTCCTATAGTATGTTATTTTTTTACAGATGATTTGCTGTTGTACTGGCATATCACTAGTTCACCAAATCATTTGTAACTTGTCGGGACTATGTGATGCAGTGGTCATACTTTTTCAAAATCGTCTTGCCAGTGTCACCTTATTTCTTAGGATTTTTAAATAATGAAGGTATGTGAAGATTTTATCATCAATACCTTGCAATGCCATATATCATATATTATCCTTTCACGGAATAAAAAGCTCAAAATTAGGTCACGTAACCATCTATATTACGGTGTCACAACCGACTCATCAAATAATTGCACCCTCAAACTATTGATCGTATTTTATGACCTGCGCAGTGCAGTAGATTGATCTAGACTAGACTTTCCTTGTGCACTCAGTGCGTTGCGCGCCACCAAACGGTCAGGACGCGTCGCTCCTTCGCGTCACTTCGCGGCGCCAGGGCTCCGCCCTCTTCTTCAAGCGTCAGGGCTGACTAAGCAGGTAAGCAATGAGGATCCTAGCCTTCCTTTCCATCATCAGCGTTGATTTCTTTAATTTTCTGTGATACTGCAGCGAATCTCGCGTGGCTAATGCGACCAAGATGTTCAGATTCTAGTCTAATGCGGTGATTATCATATTGCAAAATAGCGTCTTTGAGAAGTAAGTGATTTTTTCTAAATGTTAAAGAATTTGGATAGTGGGGGAGGGGTAAGGGGTATAGAGGGGGGGGGTAAATATCATACTGGGCGTGGTCAAACGATCGATGAAATTACTGCATTGCGACATCGTAGTAGTATCAGCAACAATGCAAATAGAAATAGATATACTGATATTTGCAAATGTCTATTAATTGTGCGTGTATATGGATAAAGGGTGCAGGATAAGAGCACTTGGTAATGGTCCAGGGTAAAGGAATGTGAAAGGCAAAAGGGTAAGTTTTAGGGAATGTGGTAAGGGTACGGGGTAACATTGCGACGTAGGGTAAGACTGTATGTGGGGTATAGGGTATATTGTATGGTGTTGGGTGGGAATGGGAATAGGTGCGGGTGAGGGTGCGTGGGTGGGTGCCGGTGCGGGAGCGGCTACGGTAGATGATGTGGGTGCGGGTGGGGCTACGACTGCGGTAGCGGGTGCGGATGCAGCTACGATAGCGGGTGCGGGTGTGGGTGAGGTTGCGGCTGCTGTAGCAGTAGCAGCTGCGGTTGCGCGTGCGGGTGCGGCTACAGTAGCGGGTGCGGGTGTGATTGTGGGTTCGGATGCGGCTTCGGTAGCGGTAACGGATGTGGGTGCGGGTGAGGGTGCGGCTGCGGTAGCGGGTGCGGCTGCGGGTGACGGTGCGGGTGCGGCTTTGGTAGCGGGTGCGCGTGCGGTTACAGTAGCGGGTGTGGGCGTTGATGTGGCTACGGTTGTGGGTGTGGATGCGACTACGGTAGAGGGTGCGGGTGCGGGTGCGGATGCGGGTGAAGGTGCGACTACAGTAGCGAGTGCGGGTGCGGATGCGGGTGCGGGTGCGGGTGCAGATGCGGGTGAAGGCGCGACTACAGTAGCGGGTGCGGGTGCGGTTGCGGGTGCGGGTGAATGTGCGGCTGCGGTAGCAGGTGCGAGTGCGGATGCGGGTGAAGGTGTGGCTGCGGTAGCGGGTGCGGGTGCGGGTTCGGGTGCGGGTGAGGGTGCGGGTGCGGGTGAGGGTGCGGATGCGGCTGCGGTAGCGGGTGCAGGTGCGGGTGCGGTAGCGCGTGCGGGTGCGGTAGTGGGTGCGGGTGCGGGTGCGGTAGCGGGTGTGGTAGCGAGTGCGGGTGCTCTAGCGGGTGCGGGTACGGTAGCGGGTGCGGGTGCGGTAGCGGGTGCGGGTGCTGGTGCGGTAGCGGGTGCGGGTGCGGTAGCGGGTGCGGGTGCTGGTGCGGATACAGATGCGGGTGAGTGCGCGTGTGCGGGTGCGGATGTGGATAAGGGTATGGGTATAGGAATACGTGCTGGTGTGGGTAAGGGTGCGGGTGTAGGTCTGAATGACCCCTAATCTAACCTAATGAAACCTTTCAAACCGTAGAATGAATCTTTTAAAATTCATTGTTGCAGGCTTAAGGTTCTTGCAGCATCTGGTCGAGTTCAGACCTGGTCACCTGAAGAGTTACTGCTAGAAGACACCACCACGTTGCACTGATGCAGTGGCTATATTCGAGCGTACACTGCATATAGGACTCATCTGAAGACCTGTCCTTATGCAGCGTGACGGCAAGTTGTTTATTTTTTATGGGAAAAGAGAGGCTTAACCTGATGGTAAGCAGTCAGTCGTGACGCCAGAGGAATTTAAAGTGCGTTGGGGAGACTCTTACTGACAACACCCCCTACCTACTCCTGCTTTGAGCCGGAGCCCCGGTATCCTGCTAGGTTATCCATCACTCCAGTAGGGTAGGGTAGTATTTTACATCGACCTAACGTACTCCTATCCTTTAATGGAATAACCCGGTATATGAGTAGACGGATCACCTGATGGTAAGCAATCGGCGCTGCCTATGGACACCCGAAACAACAGAGCAGAAGTGCATTGTTGAAATTAGGAATTCAGGACTGTTGGGGATTTATTTTATAGAGAGACTAGCGGACCCAACATACGTTGTCCTGCATATCCACTTGAATGTATAAACAAAAATTCATTCAAATTAGTTCAGCTGGTTAGGATAAATAACCTAAACATCGACTGCAGCGCCATCTGCCGGGCTGATTTGTGAAAATCAAAGTCAAAGTTAAAGCATTTTTTTCAATTAAACTATAATTTGGTACTTTTGTAACATCAACAAATCCTTACTAATATTATAAATCGGAAAGTGAGTTTGTTTGTTTGTTCCGCTTTCACGCCGTAACTACTAAACCGATTGCTTTACAATTTTGCAGACGTAAAGTTAGAAGTCTGGATTAAATAATAGGGTACTTTTATCCTGGAAAAATTTGATATTCTCGAGGAAAAGTGAAATTATTGGTATAGATGGCGCTGTATGTATTGGTATATGTCACATAGTCCGTCAGTAAAGCTAGGTGAACCTCATCAAATTCCATCAGAGATTGCATCCACTTGGTATAACAGCCTCGTGACAAGTAATTATGTATTGCTTGCAGGTGTCTGATGTCTGAAGGCGTCTAGTGCTGCAAGATCTTAGACCTGCGCTCTGGTTAGACATACAGCAGATGACATGAAGGTACGTCACCAAAAAAGTAACGATTGTTTCATATGCTGTGACCTCCTGTCATCATCATCATCATCATCATCAACACCTTATAAATGCCCACTGCTGAGCAAAGCCTCTTCTCACACGGAGAAGGTTTGAGCATTAATCACCACGCTTGCTCAATGCGGGTTGGTGATTTCAAACTTATAATTAGAAATTATAAGCCTAGGTTTCCTTACGATGTTTTCCTTCATCGTTTTTGTCAGTGGTGTCTGAATAATCTTTGAAAGTACATATAACTCGGAAAAAGTCACATTGGTACTTGCTGTTTCGAACCCGCACGCGTGAGAAGTGGGCGTCTTAAACCTCCGGGCCACCACGACATTACCTTGTCATTTTTTTTTTATACTACGACGGTGACAAAAAAGCACACGTCCCACCTGATGGTAAGCGGTTACCGTGGCCTATGTACGCCTGCAACACTTGGGGCATTATATGCGTCTTGTCGACCCTTAAGAAACCTATTCACTCCCCTCTTGAAGAACCCCATGTTGTAGCCCATTGGGAAAACCACGGCAGGGAGTTCATTCCACAATCGGAGGGTCCGTGGGAGAAAATTCCTCTGAAACCGAACTGTACGGGACCATTTGGGCTCCAATGTGTGAGCGTGAACTCCATGTCGATGGCGAGCGGTGCGATGATAGAAAGTGGCATTTAAAGAAACCAAAATTGATATTAGGAATAATTATAAATATGTATTTTTTATCTTGTATTGTATGCCTCTTTTTCTGTCCATTTTTTTATCTATACTAATATTATAAAGAGGAAAGATTTGTACCTATTTTTGTATGTTTGTAATTAATAGGCTCAAAAGGTACTGGGCCGATTTAAAAAACTCAATCACCAATAGAATGCTACATTCTTCCAATTTGACATAGGCTACATTTCATTTTGAAAAAAATTAGGGATCCTTGGTAAAATTTGAACAATGTCACCGAAGGTGTAGAAAAATGAGTCTTAAAATGTCTTTCGTCGAATGCGCTGCCGAAACTATTAGCGATAGAACAAAATAATGTACAACAATATTGAAGAACATCATAATGTCTACAAAAAACTCCGCGGTAGCATATGTCCAACTATTGTAGTTATGTCACTACAACAATCCAAACCAAAAATAAATAATTGTCTACCCCGTGCGAAACCGGGACGGGCTGCTAGTATTTAATAAACTCCTCTCCATTGCATATTGGCAGTTTACAAGTTTATCTGACAGATCTCAAGCTAGCTACGTCATTCCTAAATATGAAGATCCTAGAAGTGACGTCACGCGATATTTCAAATCAATATATTGTCTAAAGTATTTACTGCCGTAAGAAAATAAAAAAATACGTGTGTAATGCAAGGATATTGGAAAAAAGGCGAACAAAATGTCACTTAGAAGTACTGAAGCACCAAAACGTCAGTGGTGTATTTATGTAACATAACATAACATCACACCTTTTATCCCCGAAGGGTTAGGCAGAGGTGTACATTATGCCACTGTAGACGTACAATGTAACACCTACTTTTTGCTATTTATGTTATGAGTCCCATGTAATAGGGGTGACCCTATTGCCATATAACGGGCACCATTCCTGACTCTGTGCTACCACTGAGGATTTTTTAAAACCCAGTAGTACTTTGCTCGACCCGGGAATCGAACCCGAGACCCCTTGCCCAGCAGTCGCACTTGCGACTACTCAGTGAGGCAGTAACCTTATCATTTTTTTTATACTACGAGGGTGGCTAAAAAGCACACGGTCCACCTGATGGTAAGCGGTTACCGTGGCCTATGTACGCCTGCAACACCTATTCACTGCCCTCTTGAAGAACCAACGTCCTTGGTCTAATGTTTTAAAATAAGCCACTAGACGGACCTCACAATTAAAATAAGTCATCTATCCTTTTCCAGAAGCGACGCGACCTGGCTGAGACAACCACTCAGCTCCGAGGGCCTGCATCACAGCAGTTGCAACGAACTACCTCGTGACTTATGACCCCGTGGGGTTCCCACGGGGTGTAAGTGGCTCCCATCACGCCAAAGTCAACCTCACCTGCTCGTGGTACACCCTGCTCACCCACTAACGAGGCTCTGGCGTCCCCCCCATATGGGTACTTAAACCACACTATGGGGGGTTAAAATTGGTATATAATCGGTATACTATACGATTATCACCTATTTAAGCATTCGATAAAAAAATCTGTGCTTGAAAAAGCATAATTTCTCAACAATAAAATTGATAAGCTGCAAAAGCTTATTAAAAAATTATATGTTATTGTATAACGTAAAATCAAAATATGCAACTAAAAATTACGAGGTATGATAATGTGTTGTTTATTAGAATATAATGGGTGGCTAGGTCAGTGGTGGTGCAACTCGATGGTGGTCAAAAGTACCACAAAAGTGTTTTGGCTTCTTTTATTTTGTCACTTCTCTGGTCTTCTGATCTTCATCTTTTCTTGCGCCGCCGCTGGACGTATGGTTGCCCTATTGGGTAGCGGTGCTGTATTTAATAATTATGACACCGTTACCCCCTACAATTAATTAAATTGTTCTCTTCAAATTAACGGCTTTTTTCTAGCTTCTGAAATAATAATATGCTTCTAAATAATCACATAATTAAACAGTAGAAAGTAGAAGTAGTGAAAAATTTGGTGTTTTATTTGACCCCACCCTAATGTGGGGGACCCTTCCCCAAGCTCCCCAATCCCTGAATCCCCAACGATCCTCAAACTCCTAATCCCCAAAAAGCCGGTGACGCACTTGTAACGCCTCTGGTGTTCCAGGAGTCTATGGGCGACACCGATTGCTTACCATCAAGTGATCCGTCTGCTCGTTTACCGGCTTAAAAAAAATGTGTCCTTAATTGAGAGTATTGATGTTTCAAGAGTGCCTAATTACAAGTGTACTGGCTGACTGAGAAGCCTCGCAAAGCTTGCCTTCAGAGGCAAATAAATGCTCGATCAGTCAAGACGTGCCTCACCCGAAGCATACACACGCACCGCCTCGTCCGATCATGCCGCGGTCAGAGCCGACCGTTGTCTTTTGTTTTATCAAAGGCTGCCTCGATTAAAAAATTGTACACGTCGAGGTTGCTTCGTAAGGAAACCTTCTTGCAGGAATCGAGCGAGGCTGCTCAGTCAGTTATTACGCTGCTATTAAGAATCATAACATAACTTCATGTCTTTTCCCAGAAGGGGTAGGCAGAGGTGCACATTATGCCACTATACAATGTAACACCCACTTTTCACTATTTATGTTATGAGTCCCATGTAATAGGGGGTGAGGCTATTGACATATACCGGGCACAATACCAGACTCCGTGCTACTACTGAGATTTTTTTTTAAATCCCACTAATACTTTGCCCCCCGAGACCCCCTGCCCGGCAGTCGCACTTGCAACCACTCGGACAACGAGGCAGTATTAAGAATTAATTGAAACAAAAGCTATGACTTCGACTTTGACATAACTATATGTTTGGTGGCAGCAGATCGGTGACTAGCTATTGCACAAAGGGTTCGCTTCCCAAGTCAAGTAAAACTTCGTAGTCTGTAATACGCAATGTGACATGGCTTCAATGCTCAGGTCGACAAAAACAGTCCTAAAAATTACATAACTTCACGCCTTTTATCCCCGAAGGGGTTTTTTTTTTTTTTTTTTTTTAAGGGGGGAAAATCATCGAATGACTGCTCCCGCCTGGGTGAGGCGGAAGGGAGTGTCAGACTCTTACTGACTAAAAACCACCCCGTTCCTTCTCCTGCACGTCGAGCCGGAGCCCCGGTTACCCGTTAGGTTCTCCGCGACTCCGAATCGGCATCGGCCCTATTGGGCCCCATCTGTGGTGGTCTGATGGCTCTTTGAGGCGCGCGCGGAACGCGACGCGCCGTACGCTTCCCCGAAGGGGTAGGCAGAGGTTAATTACGGCTCTTAGTGCCACTGTACTATGTAATTCCCACTTTTCACTATTTATGTTATGAGTCCCATGTAATAGGGGGTGAGCCTTATGCCTAAAAATAAAAATATAATTTAACAAAAATTAAGCAATGAGTTTGACCAAAACATTGATCCTTAAGCGCTTTGTGCAAGTAAAAAGCAGGCTTAGCAGCAGCAGGAGTAGGAACGGGATGGTTATTAGACGGGAGAGGCGGAAGAAGTCATTGGGATTTCAGCATAGGAAAACACCAGAACTATTCATTTTGAATAAAACGTTTTCCACCCCATTAATAGATGGCGCTAAAGTATTTTACACAAGGTTGTTTAAATCCTAAAAACTACTGCCAAAGGAACTTATTCCGTACACTAGCGCCATCTCTTGAACAGAACATTAAATGGTTTAGCAATATCGCTCCTTGTTTTATCCCAACTTCTACTGACGGAATTACGACGACGATAAGAATTAGCAACTAGCTGTTACCCGCGGATTCACACGTTTGATGATAGGACAAAACGTAGCCTATGTGCAGGTACAGAATTACTTTTACATTCTACTAGCTTTTTCCTGCGGCTTCGCATACGTAAAATTTGGTAAGTGTACATACAAACCTTTCTCTTGAAACACTATATCTATTACGAAAAAGCCGCATCAAAATCAGTTGAGTTGTTTTAAAGATCTAAGCATACAGACACAGAGATGGCGGAAAGCGATATGTTTTAAACTACGAAATTAGTTATAGAAAAACTGCGTTTAAAAAACCAATTTCAAAAACTAAAAACGAACGAATACGTAAGAAGTTGGTGCCAAAAATAATCAAACTCGAACACAAGATAGATACTATTAACCGTTGAGGAGTTCTCTCAACTATCGTACTACTTCATCACCCTTATGGACAACTACATTACACCTAGGTATAAAGTCCTCATCAATACAAATTAATCAAACCCAAACACAAGGTACCTACTGTTAACTGAGCGCCGCTAGGGGCCGCGGTCGAGCCGGGGGGAGCCCGGCGAGCGGCGGGCTAGTAGCGACGCGCGGTCGTGTCCGGTGGTGGCGGAGACTCTACCGATCCGCCTGCGGGGCGGGCGGGAGTCTCACGCGGCGTCCGATGGGCCGGTCGGTGCGACCAGGTCTCGTGGGAGGCCGAGGCCGTCGGGGGGGCGCCAGTGGTAGGGCGCCAGCCCTCGGAGATGGTCGTGCCGCGACCGATCGGAGCGCTCAAAGAGTGTGGTGCTCAGGCGCTGCACGAATGCGTCGACGCTCTCTACGCCGAGGTCTCGGGCGATTGTCGCGTTCCGTACGAAGCGCGGGGCCTGTACGATGGTGCGCAGCGACAGTGACTGCTGCGCACGGAGGCGTTTCTTGTTGGTTTCGGACACGAGCGCATACCATGCCGGGGCGGCGTAGGTGAGCCGTGTCCGAATGTAGGCCTTGTAGATGCCGAGCTTCGCACGGAGAGGTAGCGCCGAGTCGATCACCGGGCGCAGGAGGTGACGCGCGGCGCGTGCCTGAGCGGTGGCCTGCTGCACGTGGGGCGTCATTGAGAGCGAGCGGTCGATGGTCACGCCAAAGTATTTAACGCTCGGCGCCCACCGGACCTGGGTGTCGGCTTCATGATCCCCACGGCGAGCGCCTGGGTCTTGGCCACGTTCACAGCCAGTCTCCACTTCTCCAGCCATTCAGGGAGTGCATCTAGGGCGCGCTGTAGTTTGACTACTGCGTGCCTCGGGTTCAGCGACGTCGTGTAGTAGGCGGCGTCGTCGGCGTACAGCGCTAGTTTGACGCCGCTCACAACGGGGATGTCGTCCGGGTACACGCAGTAGCACACGGGTGAGATGCAGCTTCCCTGGGGCACGCCGGCACGGATGTTCCGCTCGGTCGACAGAGTGCCTTCCACTGCCACTTGGAAGGTTCTGTCGTGCAGGAAGGTGGCCACGATCTTAACTAGTCGTCGAGGAGTAGTAGATGTGGCCAGCTTGCTGAGCAGGCCGGCATGCCAGACGCGGTCGAACGCCTTCTCCATGTCGAGGAATACTGCCGCGGCGCGCTCGCGCTTGTTGCGCGCGGCCGCCAGGTCGTGCAGTACCCTCGCGACTTGCAGGGTGGTGGAGTGTTCCGCCCTGAAGCCGAACTGTTCGCCGCGTGGCTGGAGGTGTGGGCGCAAGTGCAACAGCAGCAGCTTCTCGAAGAGCTTCGAGACAGTGTCCAGGAGCGTGATGGGGCGATAGCTCCCCGGCAGCAGTGTTTTTCCCCTGTTTGGGCAGCATGATTACTCTGCCGAGCTTCCACTTGGCAGGGAAGTGTCCGGTGCGGAGGATGCCGTTGAACAGGCGCGTCAACGTCGCGACTCCTCGTGGCGGCAGGCGGCGGACGGCCTCGTTAGGTATTCCGTCCGGGCCGGGGCCTTGCGTAGTGGGGCTCGTAGAGCCATACGCCGCACCATGCCAGGGGAGAGCACAACTGGGTCCTCTTCGGGGGAGATCGGTTGCTCCAGGTACTGTGCTACCTGAAGCTCGATGGCTGCTGCGTGTTGCACGTTGCGGGCTGGGTTGGGCTGGAACTGGCTCTCCAGGGAGTCAGCGAAGAGCTCCGCTCGATCCTCGGCTCGGTAGCGGGGTGTACCGTCGCCGGCCAGGAGGGGTCTGATCGGAGCTGGCTTCCCGGAGAGATTGCGGCACAATCTGTGTATGCCCGACCAGTCGTCGCTCACGTGCTCGATGGCGCGTTGTGGCGGACGAGATCCTGGCGGCCAGAGCGTTGAGCGAGCTCTTCATAGTCGGGCATCGGGTCCTCTGCCATTGCCTGCGGAGTCTCCTCTTCCTCTCGACCATGGCGAGTATGGCGGCTGGGAGGGGTGATGGTCTCCTCGGTGTCGACACGTTTGCCATCTGGGACTCGGCTAATGCGGTCTGGGTGGCTGCGGCGAAGTCGGCGGCGAGTCGGTCGACGTCGGCGGGCGTGTCGATCCCGATTGACGGCGCGTTCCGTGCCATGTGCGCGGCGAAGGCGCGCCAGTCCCGCCGTGGGCGAGGGGGAAGAGGTCGCAGGTGTTGTGGGATGTCCTCGATGATCAGACTCACTGGCTGGTGGTCTGACCGGAGATGCGACCGTGCGCTCAAGCATGAGAAGTCTTAAACCTCCAGTTTACCACCATATTAAAACAGAAAGTTGACTATTTGAAATTCTTATTTATCAGACGAAATGCAGGAACGCAACATAAGAGAGGAGCGGTCATTGACTTCTCCGGTCGAGCTGACATATTCAAGTTGCATAAAACGACTAAGTATTTTTTATGATGACATATCATAAAAAATCTAGAATAACCCTTTGTAACGTACGAGAAAGCTAAGGTTAACAAACAGACTTCCGCATATACAATTATTATTAAGAAGAATTTAATTGAAGTGAACGCCATCTATCGTCCGGAGCACTAACATTAAATCACGCACATAATTTTACAAAGTATACACCAAAGAACAGACAGCCGCTCATCAAGCTACCCCAAGCACTCGAAACTCTTGAATAAAACTAAACTATATTGCAAAACTATAAGATTGAAAATGTAATAAATTGCATCTGTTGTCAAAGTATTGATCGTGACCTGCGCAGTGCAGCTAGGTTGTTCTAGACTAGACTTCTATTGTGCACTCAGTGCGTCAAGGGTCGTCTAACGAGCGAGGACACGTCACTCTGCGTGATCAGCCTAGGGCTCCGCCTTTGTCTTCAAGCTATAGAGCTAACGAAGCATTCGTGTTCTCGTGTGACCAGTTTTTAAATGGCGAACAATTCCAACCAGCATCTTCGAGAAACCACTGCGTCATCGCCGCCATTGTTCTACTACGCAGTTCAGATCCCGCTTGGCGACACTGGCGATGTGACGGTAAGTTGTTCATTACTCACTATACTATCAAGCTAACGTGCGATACCAGTATAGGAAGACGTCATCTGCTTTAAGAAACGCAGGTTGCATTATATCGGAGCTGATTCAGCATAATTTTGAATACTATATTATCAATAGAGAGCCTTGAGAAGTATGTGTGGAGTAAAATTGAGTGATCGAGTGAAAAATAGTGCTATTATAGAAAGGTGTGGATTGAAAGATGATGTAGTGACAAGGATTGAAATGGGAATGTTACGCTGGCTTGGACATGTAGTAAGGATGGATGAAAGTAGAGTAACGAAAGAAGTATACAGAGCGGATATGAATGGTTCCGTCGGTACAGAGCGTCCTATACGGATATATATGGACCAGAAGTGTGATATATTAAAGAAGGGTACAAATTCAAAGTACCCTTAACCGACGAGCATGCATGAAAAGACTGATGACTGTTAACGAAGTGAAAGAGGTATATAAGAATCGTAGCAATTGACGTTCCATAGTCTCTGCCTACCCTCATGACATCAGAACACCACAGATGTGACCCAATAGGGCTGATGCCGACACGGAGCCGCGCCGAGTAAATTAAAAATATGTATAAAAAGAGGAGCTACAAAACTTTCTACGGCCGCGTCGGTAACTCTGGGTAACGCTAAAGGAAAGATGAAATTCTTAATATACTTGGGATCAGCAAAAAACTAACACTTGATATTGCTTCCCTCCTATAGTGGGCCTTACGCCGACACTGCTCTTATGATACCTATGGAAGCTGACTCCACTATGACTACACAACAACCAAAACTTGTCGTCTTCTTCCTTCTCATAGTGACATTAATTCAATACTGTTTACAGGTGTCCCGTTTCTAAAGATGTCTGATGCTGCAAGATCTTCAACCAGCGCTCTGGAATACTCTCCAGCAGCTGCCATGAAGGTACTTATTTCTATTAGTAATTATTAGACTGTACCCATCTCTGTTCAGTATTATAAAACGATTCAACAACCATTCTCCTAAGACCGACTCGCTACTAGACTGTTCATCGACAGGATGATTCATTACCCTTTCTCCAGCAGGGTCTTTCATCTATACTCATTAATTTCGTTGACAGAACCTTTTATATGCGTCACTTTCGATGGCAGCCCTTTTCAGCAACTAACGCCCAAATACTGAAAGGTTATTCAATATTAAGTCGTACTTAAATATCGTGCCATTTCTGTCATTTGGGCCTAATAGGGCTGATGCCGATTCGGAGTCGCGGAGAACCTAATGGGTTACCGGGGCTCCGGCTCGAAGCGCAGGAGAAGGAACGGGGTGGTTTTTAGTCAGTAAGAGTCTGACACTGCCTCCCGTCTCACCCAGGTGGGAGAAATAATCCGATGATATTTCTCCCTTTAAAAAAATGTACAGGCAACCTGTTAAGTCCTCCGCGGCTCCATATCAGCATCAACCCTATTGGGCCCCATCCGTGGTGGCTACTTTCGGGTCTGGTTCTGGTCGGACGGCAAGCCATCCTTGCTCGCCGTCCGCAGGTCCGCGCTTACGGTGGCCGGAGATCGTAGCTATTATAGCCTTTAGGAAAACGGTTGCTGAATCCAATAAAACACTTTCAATACTAATCAGTGATACCTACTTACCCTAACTATGACCATGATTTCCAGGAGCGGCGAGACCTGACTACGTCACCTGCGTGTGCTAGCTTCAACCAGCCTCATGACTGACCCCACTGCCCCCACGGGGTGTAAGTGGCTCCCATCACGCCAAAGTCAACCTCACCTGCTCGCGGTACACCCTGCTAACCCACTAACGAGGCTCTGGCGTCTACCACACTTGAGCGGAAAACAAGATCATTCGCTCCAAGTGCTGGACACTATATAATTTTAGAATATAACATGAATCAACAATGTCTATAAAACGTTTCTATATTATAAATTTTGTCATTATGTGTACTAGGTACTAAGATAGTCAAGGGTGGCTAGGCCAGTGGTGGTGCAACGTGGTGGTGGTCAAAAGTGCCACAGAAGTGTTTTGGCTTCTTTTATTTTGACACTTCACTGGTCTTTTGAGCTTCATCTTTACTTGCACCGCCGCCGGACGGATGGCTGCTCCGATAGATGGCGGTATAACCTATTGTAATCAATATCAATAATGTATCACCGCAAAAAAAAAACTTTCAAAATTTTTAACTTTTAACATTTAACTTTTAAAATAAAAAATTTTAACTTCACAATATTTAATCTAACATAGTTAATGTTTTTGAATATTAAAGTAGAAACTAGAAAGGTAGTAATAGTGATTTTGTCTTTGAATCAATAAAGTAGAAGTAGGATTAGATGTAGTGAAATCATGGCGTTTTATTTGAACTCACCTACCACCTAAACCACCCCTAAATCATTTGTTAGCTAAGAGTTACTTAACGTGATGAACACGAACATTGCTACGAAGTAATATATTTTGCTAATAAAATGTGTTAAATACCTAGGAGGCGCCACAGTCGCCACCTTTTGCTTCACAAAAACGGACGAATATACATATATGTAATCATGTGTAATTCAGTGGTTCTTTAAACTTCATATAGTATATTGTTGTATTGTATATTGTTTTATTTTTGTAGCTTACTAATTCAATAAATTAAATCAGTAGCGCCACCACAATTTTAATGCAGTTTCATATAGTTAAACAGTTTATTTTCTGCTCACTAGATGGCGCTAATGTAAAGTACTATTTGTCCAATTGCTGTCAAAAATGTTTAATAATGTGACAGTAAGGTAAGAAAAAATACGTGTCTAATGTTTTAAAATAATCTACCAAACGGACATTACAAAAAAAAAATAAGGATACTACCCTATTACTAACTGGCGCCACCTTTGGAATTGACTGCGTAATTGGGTTAGAATAGAAATAGCGATATTACTGTTAACTTTCCGTACGCCATGTTTAAATTTTATATAGCGCCATCTATGAGTTCATGGTCGAAGGTGGGAGTACTAATAAAAATAAAATCCGTTACAAATATGATTACGATATTTCTAACATCATTATAGCTATGTTAATTTTTATTAAATTGAATTTAAAATAGCATAGGGTATAAGAGAACTAAGATACTCTCTTTAAGTAGTTAATTGCGCTACTACTTAATAAATAAGCTAAGAGTTAATACCGTCAACAGAGCCTTCATTTTTCTTTCAACCACATGGTCACCTAAGACATTGGTAATCATTAGGTATCGTAAATTAATGCCATCCATATTTATGAATTAGGAATCTCCTAATTTTAGACTTCGGATCTTATTTTTCTGTTAATCTTCTTTATATCCTTACTAATATTATAAACCTGACAGTGAGTTTGTTTGTTTGTTCCACCTTCACGCCGTAACTACTCAACCGATTGCTTTGAATTTTTGCAGACGTAAAGTTAGAAGTCCGAATTAAATAATAGGGTACTTTTTAACCCGGAAAAATTGTTATTCCCGAGGAAAAACAAAAGTATTGGTATAGATGGCGCTGTGTGTATTGGTATATGTCACATAGGCTAATTTTTATTCTTTTGTGACGCGAGCGAAGCCGCGGGTAAAAGCTAGTATATATATAATTCTGCTGTACGTGTGTATGTTATTGAACTCCTTCTAAACGGCTTGACCGATTTAAATGAACGCCTGGATGGTTTAGATTCACAAATCAGCCCGGTAGATGGCGCTGCAGCCGATTTAGACACTACATACATACATAACTAACCTTGAGGTTATTTATCCTAAACAAATGAACTAATTTTGAATGAATTTTTATTTATACATTCAAGTGGATATGCAGGACAACGTCTGTTGGGTCCGCTAGTGTTTCTATAAATATACGCACACGTACCGTACACAGGCCTCATAACATAAATAGTGAAAAGTGGGTGTTACATTGTAAAATGGCATTAAGTACCGTAATGTGCACCTATGCCTACCCCTTCGGGGATAAAAGGCGTGATGTTATGTTATGTTGTGTATTCAAAATGCAACGCACATCAAACTTCAAAGTATTGATTGTGACCTGCGCAGTGCAGACAGAACATTCTAGACTTGTGCACTAAATGTGACGTCTGCAGAAGTTCCACATCGCCCAGTGCACGGAAACCAGATCAGGGGATGATTCGATCCATGTTATAATCATCATTCTTGATTTGTTTTTTTTTAAGGGACAAGCCCGCCACAACCTCCCAAAACCGCTGTAACTCACGATGTTTTCCTTAACCGTTTGTCAGTGGTGTCTAAATAATCTTAGAAAGTACATATAACTCGAAAAATGTTACATTGGTATTTGCCGTTGGTAGGTTTCAAACCCTCATGTATGAGAAGCGGGCTTCTTAAACTTCGGGACACCACGACATTTTTGTATTCATATTAATTATTATTTTATCTGGAGGCCCAATTCCCTAGTCCCCGTCTCCCGAATCCCTGAATCCTACACCATCCTAAAATTCCCAATTCCCAAAAGGCCGGTAACGCACTTGTAACGCCTTGGTGTTTCGAGTGTCCATGGGCGGCGCCGATTGCTTACCATCAGGTGATCCGTCTGCAGGTATACCGGCTTATGCTATTAAAAAAAAATCTATGAATTTATTGTTGGTTCTCCCTTCCATTATGCAGGTTAACCTTCTGTTTGTTTATATTTTGTCTAGTGGCACAAAAACTACAACTGCATCCAAATATATCACACATCGAATATTTGATTGTGACCTGCGCATTGCAGACAGAACATTCTAGGCTTGTGCACTCAATGCGACGCCTGCAGAAGGTCCACGTCGTCCAGTGCACAGGAACAACCCGCATACATCGTGACCGCAGATATAACAAAAGTTTAGCGCACAGTTTGTGATTACATTCGTCACAAACTGTGATGTTTCCACTACATATTGGCTTGATGTGTTCTCTGAATAATTTGTGAGTGCTACAATATATAATATTAACTGCTTTGACTACTTCTTCTCATTCATTTCTATTCCCTACATGATCGAGTCATTTTTTTTATCAGTCACCCTTCTATACAAGGTGTTGTTTTAAAGCCGCATCATTTTCGAGGAAGTAACTCGGTTATCGATTCTGAGTACGAAAAAAAAATCCGTAAGTGCGAACTACAAGCCGCCGTCTTGTATCTAGCTTTATAACGCGGCTTAACACATACAAACCCAAACACGTAATTGATATTATTCCTAATTCCATAAAACTCCAATAAGAAACATTGCTGTCGCTTATTCTGAAATATTGTCGAACTTAAACGATTTATTATAGCTGTATTTTTAACTATTGGCCCAAAACTTTCTCTTACATTGAACCTTTATGACTTCTGTGACATGCCTCCGAGAAATGTCACGGTTTCAAAACTACACCTTGTATATGACAGCCAACCTTCGGTTTGATCGCCTGATCAGTGGCATAAATACCGACTGCATTGTATAGCTTATGTCAAAATATTGATCGTGACCTGCGCAGTGCAGCTGGACTGAACCAGACTAGACCTCCATTGTGCAGTCAATGCGCCGCGCGCCGTCTGCCAGGAGCGACGTGCTGCCAGTCCTTGGATCCGAAATTGTTACTGCATCCTTCCATTTCTGTCTGCCTCTTCAGATTTATAAATGGTAAGTGGTCTCATAACTTATTTAAATGCTACATTTGATTTTGTATATCATTTTTTTATAGAATAAGCCGGTATACGCGCAGCGAGATCACGTGATGGTAAGCAATCGGCGTTGCCCATGGATACCTGGAACACCAGAGACGTTACAAGTGCGTTACCGGCCTTTTGCGGATTAGGAATTGAAGGATTGTTGGGGTTTCAGGAATTGGGAGATTGGGGAAGGAGGTGGGGGATAATTGGGCGTTAGGTAACCTTACTCACACGACGAAATAGTCGGTGTTTCACATCAGTTTTCTGCTCAACCGTGGTATCACTCCGGTCGAGCCATTTGCGTGCCAAAGCATGGTTACTCACACTTAAGGAAGTCACACTTCATGACGCTTCTATTTGGCATGAAGGTGTACTAATTTATCAATTCTGCTTAACATATAATTCTACCTTATTCCAGGGTTCTGGAGAACACGAGGTTCCCCTAGCAGGTGTTTGGAGTTGGCTGGCATCGAAGCAAACAGTCATGCAGAGCTGGTGCTGGGACTCAACACTAGAACATGGAGCGCTGTTGTCGACCTTTAATTCCAAGGTCGGTAATAAAATAAATTGGTTTCTTTTACACGTTATCTACGGGTGTTTTTAAGAGAATCCTAATCATTTTTTTTACGTTTTCCAGGAGCAGCATAGCCAGGTTGGTTCATCCAGTCGATTCCGAAGATCTTCATCAGCCTCTTCCAAGCCTCGTGACTTATGACCCCCACTTGCCCCCCGCGGGGTGTAAGTGGCTCCTCACAGGCCAAAGTCAACCTCACCTGCTCGCGGTACACCCTGCTCACCCACTAACGAGGCTCTGGCGTCCCCCCCATATGAGAACGAACATCAATACATATGGGGTTATCTAGCAGTTCATAATTTGTTTCGTGTTTCATTGGTAAACTTGATTGTTTTCCAAAAGAACAGTTTTGCTAGATTAATAATAATTAGGGCAGGAGTGGTTTCAAATGGAGGGGATCACAAGGGCCAAAGGCTCTTTTGACCTCCTCCCTAAAAATTTGGTACCACGCCTGACCGCATGATTTTCTTGTAAACTTACAAACACAATTAATTGGTACATAACAATACATATGATGAAGTTGTAATAATCTTGATAAAATAATCTTGTCTCTAGTAATATATTCCATTTAATCTTTCAATAAAGCTTAGTAGTGTATTAGGGCTTAGAAAATGTTGTTTCATTTCGTTTAATAATCCTTCTTCCTAATTTTCCTTCCATTCCGGAGGATCAAAGTATAATTGTACGAGCTTCGTCCCTGTTATCTCATAAGAACATTTAATTTGGATAAAAAATCCTGCCTCCTAAGTCAGCCCATATCCTGCCTGTATACCTTTCATCAAAGTCCGTTCAGTAGTTTATAGAAATAATTATAGAAAGTTAATGGGCTCACAACTAATGCTTTAAAATAATGAAAAGACATGATTTACATGATTTAAATAAAATATAAAACAATGCTCGAGCGGATACAAAATAAATACATCAGATTTATGTATTTAAAAATATATGGGATATATCCGGGATACCCGTTACTGTATCCCACCTTATTCTGTCTCGGTATGGTGGGGTACTACAAATTGAAAGTCAGGCGTGAAGTAGCATCGGCAACTTATCTTCTGAAGGTTTTAAGAGGTAACATACAAAACTCTGGTATGCTTTCAGAGATAGGTTTTTGTATGCCGGACGACTATGTGGCGCGGCGGCGCCGGCCGCGGCTGCTGGTGGTGCCGCGGGCGCGCACCAACCTGCTGGAGCGCGCGCCGCTCACTCGTGCCTTGCGCACTCTTAACACGGTGGCTGATGTCGTAGACATATTTAACTGTACACTGAGCGAGTTCACAAGGACCACTTATTCTATAGTGTGTAAGAAAATATAGTTTATAGTTAAATATAGTTAATAGTTTAGGAAACGTATTTTAAGTTACTATGTCGAATTAGGTTAAGTTATCTGTAATGGCAAAGTAATTGTATTAAATAAATAAATAAATAAATAAATAAATGAAGGAAAAGATTCGACCCATAGATGACGCTACGTAAAGTCCGACTTGTGACTATCAAATACGTAATAATTCAAGCGTCAATCAAAAGATGGCGCTAGTTAATTTTCTGCTAGTAACCATAACATTCGAGTGCATACAAATAGATCGCGCTACGTTAAATTCTGGCTAGTGATTGTCACATACATAAATTTTGAAAAACCACGAGCGTCAGCAGAAGTACGCAAATTCTGACTGATGACTATCATATTAGAAGAAGTTTTAAGAAACGCCCATAGATGACGCTTCACAAATTCTGGCTAGTGACTATCTCATACGAAGAAATTGGAGCTGAGGCCATGAGATGGCGCCACGCAAATTCTGACGAGTGACTATCAGTTATGAAGTAGTTCGAGTGCATACCAAGAGGTGGCGCTACACAAATTCTAACATACGAGTAGGACAGTGTCACATACATAGAAGTTCAAGCAAATATCCAGAGATGGCGCTACGCAATTCTTTATCGCTTAAGTAAACACGTAAATTTTGTTCTTTAGGGTTCTGGGTCTGATTTGTACGTGAATTAATATGATGACGATGTCATTTATATACGTTATATCATGATAGGTAGAGGAAAATAAATAATAGTAGAGCCACGTTTTTTTAGTCTTACTTTTATACTAGCTCCTGCCAGCGGCTTCGCCCGCGATCTCAGGGGTAAAATGCCTATGTATCACTTCAGACCATAATCTACCTCTGTTCCGAATTTCATTCCGGTCCCTTCAGTGGTTTTAATATGACTGAGTAACAAACATACACATAAACTCACATATTTTCATTTATAATATCGAGTCAAGCTAATTTCAACCATTGGCCTTTCAGTTAGTTTGCAAGAAGAGACCACCGAACAAGTACCCCATGATGTTCGCTTGGTTTAAGCCCGTGAACTTCATATTATTACCGAAATTTGTAATTTCGAGAAAAAGGGAATACCTTAGAATAATAATAATATACACATCTCCCTTGAAAGTATTGATCGTAACTTTGTGACCTGCGCAGTGCAGGCAGAACATTCTAGAATAACTTAAATGCACTAAAACGCAATATACAGAAAGTCCACGGCGCTCTGTGCACGGGAACAAGCAGCACACAGCGCGACCACAGACGCAACTCAAACTCAAAAGCATTGATTTCTATTAAACCATAATTTGGTACTTTTGAAACGTCAACAAATACAAAATAAATAACAGTCTGTCAGTCTGTCCGTCAGTGAAGCTAGGCGCTCGTTCCAAAATGTTAATTCGAGTGGAGAAGAACGAGCAAGAAACTCCATTCGTTACTCTTTTAAAGAAAAGTCTGTTTTACATTGTTCTGATAGATACATATTCCAATATTGGACTAAAAAGATTAGCGCACTATCGGCTCCTGCAATCGCCACAAACTGTAAATACTTGTATTTGTTTCATTTGTTTGTTTTTGTTTTATTTCTTTTTTAAACGTAGCCCTCCACTGGGATGTACTCCTGTTTCGTGGGTACGTTTACAAACATACAATTTCACATACACATGACACCCAGACCCGGAACAGCAATCTGTGGATCACACAAAGAGTTGCTACGTGCAGGAATCGAAAAATCGTACCCGCTACACGTTACACGGCAGCCAGTTGCCCAGCCACGCCACGGCTTTAACCGTGCAGTCATTTGTATAATAACTATAGTGAGACATTCTTAATATATCTATACAGGGTGCCTTTTTTTAAGGAGGGGTATATCATCGAATGACTGCTCCCGCCTTGCGTCAGACTCTTACTGACTAAACACCACCCCGTTCCTTCTCCTGCACTTCGAGCCGGAGCCCCGGTAACCCGTTAGGTTCCCCGCGACAATCTATACAGGGTGCCTGCCTGCCCCCTTTACTTCTATTACATTTTTAATTAACTAGCTACTTCCGCGTGGTTTCACACGCTCTGCTCAGCTCCTATTGTTCGTAGCGTGATGTTTTATAGCCTATAGCCATCCTCGATAAATGCGCTATCCAGCACAAAAATAATTATTTAAATCAGACTTGTAGTTACGGAGATTAGCGCGTACAAACAAACAAACAAACAAAAAAAAACAAACTCTTCAGCTTTATAATATTACATAGTATAGATAAAATGAATAAGTAATATTTAGTTCCATTATATTCGACAAGTATGAGTTAGATATGCTAAGTGTGAGAGAGCCATGCTTCGGCTCGAATGGGCCGGCTTGACCGGAGTGATACCACGGCCTCACAGTACACCGACGTGAAACAACGCTTGCGTTGTCGTCGTGTGAGTGGAGTAACCGGAGGCCCATTTTTTATCGGTATTTCATTCCAAATATGCAAGTGAACCTTCTCATAGTATATTTGTTTAATGGCATAAGAACTATAACTCCAAACAAATATATCGCCCTCCAAAGTACTAATTGTGACCTGCGCAGTGCAGACAGAACATTCTAGATTAACTTTAAATGCACTAAATTGTAATATATGCAGAAAGTCCACATCGCACACATGGCGACGACAAAGTTAACATTGGCATACAACGTAGCAATGGTGCTAGTATTTTGGGATTGTTCTTTTATTGATTACTAGCTTTTACCCGCGGCTTCGCTCGCGTCACGAAAGGATAAAAAGTAGCCTATGTGACATATACCAATACATACAGCGCCATCTCTAGGTACCAATACTTTTGTTTTCCCTCGGGAATATCATTTTTTTTCGGGATAAAAAGTAGGTACCCCATTATTTAATCCAGACTACTAACTTTACGTCTGTTAGTTACGGCGTGTAGTCTGTTAGTTAGTCTGTTTCAGTAGTTACGGCGTGAAGTCGGAACAAACGAACAAACTCACTTTCCGATTTATAATATTAGTAAGGATGTCAGCAAACAAGCAGAAACTCTTGATGGTAAACGATTAGTGCCGTCCATATATTACACACACCTGGGCGCTTACTCTTGAAATCAATCTCAATGTCATTGCAATTGCAATCCAATAGAATCTGAATAATTATTCAATGTCAAAACTATACAACCCCTATCGTAGCTGTTAAAATAGCATTCAGAGTACGGAATATAAAGCCAAACTCAATACCATAATTAGTTTATTAAATATCCACGCAATACGGATGCAATGGGTGCTAGTGTTGCATCTCGAGAGTACGAAATTTCACAATACCAATGTCGATCGATCGGAATTGGATTCAAGAGTAAGCCTCATGGTCTGATGTCATCACACGACGAGACACATCTCTGCCTAACCCTATCAGAAATAACAAGCAAATTCAATGAACAGTTGACGCGTCTCTCAGCTTTATCCACTACGCAATAATGTACGCGCAATATGTGACGCTCAACGTGTTTGACAGCATTGTAAGACACAGTACGTCATTGCTAGATGGCGCTTATCACCCAATGTTAGGGCTCGTACACAAAACTGCAATGCGACGTCGCATCAAAATCTTATCTTCACAAAATCGTCCTTGTTTCTTTTTCCTGTATCTCCTAAGCAATAACAGAAGTGTAAATTTCTTTTTACGATCCATGTCACGACCTAGTATTCAACTTAAATACGTTTAGTACGGTTGACGGTCGTCGAAGGAATGGTCACCCTGGCAGACGCCTTGTCGCACGAAATCGCATCGCAGCAATTCGCATCGTAATTTTCAGAGTCAAAGCATTATTTATTTCAATTAAATC